AATGGGTGGTCCGGGTACGAGGGCGTGGGGGAGGGGCTCTCAGCTGTCCGGAGAATCTAGACCCTAGAAAGGCAGTGCCCCCTCCCCCGTCCAACTTGCTTAACCTCACTCTTCAGGAGTCCCCGGGAGGACCGCTGTTCCCCCAGCTCGGGGTCCGGGGTGGGACAGAGAGGCCTGGGCAGCCGTCAGCACCCACAGGAACTGGAAGGTCACTCTGTGTCCTCCTAGCACTCCCCTGCCAACCCGCCGGGACGGAGTGACCTCCGCGTCAGGCGGTGTTTCCTCTGGGTGGCTTCTCCCGTCTGGGAGGCGAGAGGGTGCGGTCCAGGGGGACACAGGCTGGCCACCGCAGTCCTGTGTCAGTGGGCTCACGTTCAAAGCACATCTCTGAAGTCCCATTCAACGATCACAAACAGTACATTGGAGGTGGAAATAAAGACGCGTGGGCGGTTCAACATCTGAAGCATTTTCATCTCCTCTGATTCATACCGTCACCTTCCCGGATCACCAGGATGACGGGGGGAGGGGCAGGGCAGCTCCATGAAGCTGGGGAGACAGCATTGCAGCAGCAGGCCGGAGCCTCCGAGGCCATTCCGAGCGACTCAGCTGGTCACTGGCCTGTCCTCCTCCGGGTCCAAGTGTGCTTATGGACAAGCGGAGGGGCCACTGGCTGCCCCGGGGGCCCATGTTAATTACTGCCGTGCATTGTCCGAATTGCAGCAGGCAGAGGCCCCCGTACCCCAGCAATATTCGACACCCCCTAAGGCAGGCTTGTGGGCCGGGCTCCAGCGCCAGCTGTTGCGTTCGAAGACGGCTTCCTTGGAGGACACCCCTGCCCACAGCTCCCCAGCTGCTGTGAAATGAAACTCACCCCAGGCCTCACAGTTTCCAGGCCTGCGGGCTGGGCCTCGGTGGCATAGGGCTTGTCCCAGGGCGCCCCCATCTGTCAGATCGGGGAGCCCTCCTCCCTGCCTCTCAGCTGAAACACAGCAGATCTCCCCGTCCTGCCTGCACCGAGTAAAGCCTCTCCAGGGCCTCGCTGAGTTCTCAGAAGGAGGCTTCTTTGTCCTGGGAGCTGGGGAGTGGGCAGAGTGGCGTCTTGGGTGCGTCTCCTCAGGGCCAGTTCCTCTCTCCCACTGTCCTCACCCTGGTCGCCCCGGGCCTCAAATCCCAGCACTGTGTGTCCACCTAACCCTGGCAGGGTGGCTGGCTGGCGTTGCTCTCTGCAGTCTGGCTTCTCCAAGTCTGAACTCCAAATCTGAGGGTGGAAAACAGGGTCACCCAGGCGGGGGGGGGGCTCCCCAAGTTGCCATGGCTGGATGTTCAAGGGAGGCTTGCCGTGTTGGGGGTGGATGGAACAGCTGTCCCACAGGCCCAGTTAGACCTCGGGTCTCATTAATCAGGGACACCCCCCACCCCCTCCAAAAATAAGACCAGAAAAGCTGACTCGGGGGCAGGGGAATTTTCCGTGCCGGCTGAGTCTGCGTGCAGGGGCTGCCAGTTCCGGGCCGTGGCTGTGCCCTTCCCTTTTCTCGGGCAGGGTCATTTGCATTCCTGGGTACACTGTGTGCAGTTTCTGTCCCGCCCGGCCCTGTACTCAGGAGAACCAGTTCTGGAGGGTGCAGTTCTGCTCTGTGACAGTGAGTCTGAGGAAGCCCTGGGAAGGAGACAAGCCAAGGAGAGCGACAGGGGCCAGGGCTCCCAGACCCATGGTGGCGCTGGCTTATCCCCCAGGGCCCAGCAAATGCCCCATGCTCTCCAGCTGGGGGAGGAGGCAACGGACTGGTAGTTTCCCACAGAGCCATGGTTCAAGGTCACCTTGTATGTGACCTGCAGCCCTGCACAACTGACACAACATTTTTATTAACAATAACATGCATTTATTAAGCCTCTCCCGCCCTGCACCAGGCAGGTCACTGGGGAGTGGGAACCCTTGTCCATTTTAGGGATGAGGAAGCACTTGCCCGTAGTTTCCCAGGGGTGCATTTGCATGGGGGTGCCCCCACTGTGTGATGCTGGGACTAGCCTCTCTAGTGGGGGGCCTCCAGGGTGCTGTCAGGGCTTCTTGGGGTCTAGAGAGCTTTCTAGAAAAACAAGCTTGTCCTCAGTGCCCACCTGAGCCTGCCTTCAGGGGGGTTTCTTCTTGGGGCTGGTGGGAGAGAAGCAGGGGGCTCCCTCCCCCTCAGAGGAAGACCCCCCATGTCAGTCCCTCAGGCCCCCCGACCGCCCGAGCCGGTGAAAATGCACTCAGGACCGCTGGCTGGCAGAGGGGCCTGACTCCAGCCTTGTTGGGGCTGCTTGGTGAACGTCTGTGCTCGTGGGGGCAGAACCCTCCACAGAGGGTCAGTGCCTGACCCTGTCCACACTCACGTGGGCAATGCCTGTCCATCACTCGCTGGAGGGTGACAGTGCCCGAGGGACCCTGGGCTGTGCCTACCCCGCCCCCAGGTCTTCTCTTTCTTTCCACTGTGAGAAAAGCCCGAATTCTGGGAAGTTCCACTCAGCATTCCCCCAAGACAACGGCTGATGCCAGATATTTGCAGGTGCATTTGGACAGTTTCCCTGGATGCTCTGGACAGTCCCCACCTGGATGGACAGGGACATGGACACTGCCGGCCAGGGCATGACTCTCACTGTAGTCCTTGCAGAGGTTTGAGAAGCAGGGTCTTGGGTTGTCCTCCTCATCTCCCAGACCCTCGGAGCCTGGAGCAGCCTGCGCAGGAGACAGTTCCGAGGTCCCCGACACAATGTCACCAGCTGCCCCTCATCCTCAGAAAGGTCCCCCGACCCCTCAGGACAGCCTGGTGGGCACAGGGCCAGCACAACTGTATTGATGTTCCCTTTGTGTGGCTAAACAATGGCCAGCGCGGGCCACTCCTGGGTGACTGGTCATCGAGGGCTGAGCCAAGGGCTACAGCCCCATGGCCCACCTTCTGTGTTTGAGCCCATTCTGGCTCCTAAAGCAGGCAGACCACTTTGCCATTTGTTGTGGGTTGAATTACACCCCCTCTCAAAAGACATGTCCATGTCCTAACCTCTGGTACCTGTGACCGTGACCTCATTTGGAAGGGGCATCATCGCAGATGTAGCAAGTTAGGAGGTGATCAGACTGGAGGAGGCCGGGCTCTGAACCAGGCACGGCTGGTGCCCTCAGAAGAGGAGAAGAGGTGCGGACGGACACACAGGGGAAAGACAGCTGCGCGGAGGTGGAGGCGGAGGCAGGGGTTGGAGTGAGGTGTCTACCAGCCCAGGATTGCCAGCAATGCCAGGATTCAGCAGACACGGAATGGACTGTCCCCTAGATCTCTCAGGGAGCATGGCCCGGGGCACCTTGACTTACAACTTCTGGCCTCCAGAGCTGAGAGAGAATGCACCCAGCCCTCTGTTACAGCGGCCCTAGGAAGCTGATACACCATGGTTTGGGTCCAGTCCTGACACCAGCTGGCCCTGTGGGGGCCTCCCGACAGACTTCCTAAACTTCCTGATGGGCCGCGGGCCCTCCAGCACCTGCCAGCTCACTCACAGATGCTTTCTGAGCCCCTGCCATCCTGGGCTGGGAGCACAGACCTGAAGGCACCTCCCCAGCCTACCCTCGTCCTGGAGATCAAAACCTGGAGAAAACGAAAGAGGCCACAGAGCTTTATAACCACAGGCTACCACGGACACTCAGGCCAGGACTCCGGGGGGCTGAGCAGCTCTGTCCTCTACAGCCTTCTCTGCCCACCTCCTGCAGCTCTGCTGGCAGAATCCACTCTGGAGACCCTGTCAGCGGTCCTGGCCCCAGGCAGCCTTCACCAACCCTTGTGGCCTTGGCACAGTCACTCCCTGCTCCCCTGGCCCCTCTCCTCTCTCACCCCCCGGGACGTCTGTGGGGTAGAGAGTGACTGTGTGCTGTGTGGGGTCCAGGTGGTCCTCAGGAGGTGGCAGCCTGCCCATGGACACTGGGAAGGGCAGCCGCCCAACCCCACCTGGATGTAGCATTCTCTGGACTTGGAGAAGCTGGGGGACATTGCCTGCCTGCCCCCATCTGTGATGAGCTGCTTTCCTTTTCTGCCAACCCTGGGATCCCAGCTGAAGACACAGGTGTCCACACTGTCACTTGGGACCCGGAGTAAAGCTGTGCATCTCAAAGGGATCTGAGGCGACAGCCAGAGGCACTGATTTACAGAGAAGACTGGCAAGGCTGCAAGCCATGGAGAGCCCCAGAGACATGAGTGGGAGCTGGTCAGAGCAGAGTGGATTCCTGGCAGCTCCAGGTGCCGCCCGAGTGGACACTCCTGCCGGGGCTGCCAGGTCCCTGTTGAAATGGACTTTGATTTTCTTTTCTTATGAAGGGAGGTGGGGTCTATGCTTTGTGTCTCCTGTCCCCCTGCCCCCACCATGGCACGAAAGAAGAAACAGGACCCCCTGGGAGGGAAGCGTCAGGAACCAACCAGGAGGAGCCAGGGCCTCCCCAGAAGCTCAGTAGCGAGATCCTGACATCTGACGGAGGATGTGAGCTGATGAACTGCCGCCTGCGTGCCTGTGTGCGTCAGTACACAGGCAGACGAGGGGAGGAGGTGAGCAGGTCCACCCGCAGACGCTGCAGACGCGAGGGAGAGGCTGCTGGGGGAGGCGTTGTCTGCGCCACTGGCCAGGCACAGGGAGCAGGGCACTGGATGTTCTCGGGGGTGGAAGAAATGGGGGGGCTCCCAGGTCGGAGACTCTCCCAGGATACCCACAGGAGCCTCCTGCTAGGGCAGACCCTTCCTTCCATACTGGCTGGGACCCACACCCATACTGCACGTCTACAGCAAGCTCTTGAGGACGTGGGTTCTGTCCACCCACCCGAGCTGAGCACCTCCAGCCAAGGAAGACGGGTCCTCTGGGCACCTTCCAGGCCAAACAGGGTCTGCCATCCACCGGACCCTTTATCTCCCAGCCCCTCCCCTCACATCCCTACCACTCCACCCACCCAACCCACCCAACCCACCCAACCCAGGTCCAGCTGGGCACCTGTCCTGCCCTCTGCTCGGACCGTGTCCCAGGCACTGATTCACTGGCTGTCTCTTCGATGCCCCTCCCAGGACCAATCTGACAGTGGAGCTAAAGTGCTGATGTCCCCACCCCTGTCACTGTCCCTCGATTTGCACATGGCTAATGGTCTCCCTCCCTGGGACCTAAGCCCCATGAGGCTAAAGATGGCCACAGTGCCTGTGGTGGCCCCAGGGCAGACACGTGCTGAACCCAAAGAAAGCATGTTGTGAACAAACAAACGAATGAATGAGTGAAGGAATGAATCGGCCTCCATTGAAAACTGCTGTCACAAGGAGCCCATCAACTAGCAGGCATGGCAGAGGAAGGCCACCCCCTCTGCTGGCCAGGACAAGCCTGGATAATTCGACCCTCAAAGGCCTCCAAGGTCCCAGAAGAGCCCACTGGAGCTCCAAGGGCTCACACACCTAGGACATCCACCGTGGAACTGGGACCCGGAGCCCATGACCCTTTCTGTGCTCTGCTATGCCCAGGCTTTGCACGCGTCAGCCTGTGGGATCCTCCCAGCGTCCTCTGGGGCAGGAGCTATCAGAACCCCCGTTTTCAGAGGGAGAAACTGAGGCTGTGGCCACGATGCAGCTTTTTCAAATGAAGGCTGGGCAACCGTAAGTAACTCTTTGTTCAGAGACCAGACAGGAACCTTGCCCTCCAGCCCGCATGTCTCTGCGACGTTGCTCCAAAGAAGTGCCTTGGACCGGGCAGGCTCAGCCTCGCTCCCTGCGTGCGAATCCTGGAAAGAACAGACCTTTGCACACAAAGTGGACATTGGCCTGTCCCATGCACACAATTGGCACAGGGGCCACATGTGCCCGGGCATGCCCCAGACAGGCTGCTCCGCATCCCACGCCCCACGTCCCTTGCACAGTCCTGGGGTCTTCCAGCCTGGTTTCTGGGGCCTGTCACGCTAACCCCAAAAAGCGTTTCAGAACTCTCTCAATGAAAAGCTCTCTTGTTTGGGGAGAGCAAGGGACAGGGATGATGGGCTGGTTGGCCAAATTACAGAGTGTGAGCTCCTCAACATTCGGTCTACACCAGTATTTCCTCAACCGATCGGCCCACGGACCCCCAGCAGCAGCCTGGGAAATGTTGCACATACGCAAATTATAGGTGATGGCCAAATGCCATGGTGTTGACAAAATATTGCTGCAAGAAATGGTCAAGATCAGATTAAATACAATAATACATACACGTGTACACACACACCCTGGCCACCTACCCCCTCGGACACTGGGTTTGCATGTGAGCCACTGACCTAGTGTCCGTGGGCAGGTCTGTCACCTCCATGGAGACCCTGGGTTCCCGGGCAGCCCACTGCCTCGGGCCAGGGCAGTGAGGCCCAGGAGGCCGCCGTGCACCTGCCGGGGTGGAGCTCCCAGCGGGGAGCAGCACTGGCCGGGCTTGGAGGTGGAGCGGACACAGCCACTGCATCAGGCACCGGGGCGGCCACACTTAGCCCGAGGCACAGGGTGGGTTGGCTGGGGCGGCAGGTGCGTGGAAGGGGAAAGCGGTGATGGCAGGGGGCGTTCACATCCACTGGCCCGACAGAGCCGCTGAGGGCGTTCCGCCCTCCCCAGCCCTTGGTGCCAGGCTGGTTTGCACTGGGAAGCTCCGGGAGGCTGAGGCTGCAGCATCGCGGGCGTTTCTGGTGGAGTAGGAAGCTTGGGTGTGGTCAAATCCCCAAACCCATCACGCAAGTGACTCACTGAACCAATTTCTTCTAGTGGGAAGCCGAGCCAGGTGAGGGGCCCGCCCCGTAAAGCAGGCACCTGATGGAGACGCTTCCTGCCAAAACAAAACCACCTCCCTGTGTGTGGGGTGCGGAAGCGGAGCCGAGCCAGAACCACAGCTCTGCTCTGACGCAGTGCTGTTTCGGGGACGCCTCCAGGACCGGGCCCTCCTTGAATCGAACCATGGTATCCACGGGGCCGGCAAAAGTAGGTTTACACGGACCTAAGTAGCGCATACACAAAACTTAGAGTTTATTCTCATACTATTATTTATTAATTATTATATTATTCGCTATTATTATTAACTTGCTTCTGCCCATCCCTGTGTTAACCTGCGGCGTTACTGGATGATAGCTGGCAGGCAGGGCCTGTAGCCGCCTCCCCAACTGTTGACCACCCGATTCCTCCAAGTGGCCCCGTGGCCACCACGTGGGCTGCAAGGTGCTGACCACCCCAGCCCCCAGCCTGCTTGTTCCAGCTGAAGTCTGCTGCCTCCCGTGGCTCGGCTTGCCTGGCTTTTGTCTGCCCAGCGACCAGGCGCTGTGCACTTCGCACTTCCTGCTGAGCCCGCCCAGAAAAGCAAACGCAGGCGCCGCCCCCGCCCCATGTTATACTACTTTGCCTTAACACGTGCAAGTCCTGAAGCTTTCCTATGTCAGCCGTTGGCTCTGGAACCCCATGTTTGAAAACAACCCCAGACACCAAAAACCATGAGGAACGGCTCCTGTCCCCTACCCGGGGACCCAGGCTCCAAGGGGGGTGGTAGGCCACCAACATTGGCACGCTCTGCCAATGCACCCTCCCCAGTCACCACCTGTGTCACCTGTCCCAGCCCCCGCTGCTCACAGGTGGTCAAGCTAAAAAAAGCAGCAGCATGTTCACCCCACACGGGGTAGCGCTGCCACCGGCTTTGACGTCTCTGCCTGCTGGTCTGTTTCAGATGACAAGTCCTCTCTGCACCACTCCAGGCCCCAGGCGCACACCCACACGGGGCCAGGCCTGTGCACACGCAGGCAGTCACGTAGCGGGAGGAGGCCGCCGGGCCCCCAGGGGAAGGCAGCCAGGCCCGGATCCGGGGCAGCCTCCCAAGGGGCCTCTGGAATGCACCGCCCACAGGGCAGTGACGAGGTCCCGGCTTCCTGTGGGACTCGGGCTGCCAGCCGTCTGCTCCCGGGGGACAGCTGGGACTCTGGACTGGAATGCAGAGCAGGCAGGCGCCCTGGGTACGTGAGGAAGCTCAGGCGGGCTGGGCCTTCTCTGCCCTCGGGAAAGCGGCACCCCTCCTGTCGCCTCACCCTCCCGGGCCTTTCCCTTCCTTACCAGCCACGGGACTGCATCGGCTGCCAGGCTGTCCTCTGTTTCTGCCCTGGCTGAAGGGGACAACGCCGTCACTTCTCCAAGTCACTGGGAAAGAGGGCATGGAAGCCAGACAGGTAGTAGGTTGTTGATAAGCTCCTCTCTCTGAGGTTTTGTGTGCAAATCTCTCTCAGCCAAGCCCCACCCACTTCCCCCATTTAACCATCGGCTGCTTGGGGGGGGGGGGTGATGGGGGGGCAGCCCTCCCAGGCCCTGGAATCTCACCCTAGGACAGTGCCTGGCCCCTCAGGCCTACGGTGGTCCTGAGAGGACCCAGGCCCTGAATAGCAGGCCTGCAGGCCGAGCATAGGGAACCGGTGAAGAGAAAAGGATTCTCAGATAAGGAAGGTGCACAGGGCCCAGCCGTCTGTGTCCTGACTTGGAGGCTGGAGCCCCAGAGCCGCACTGGGCCTAGGCGACACCCTTGTCATGAACTAGGATGGGGGCTACGGCAGGATGCAGGAAGCCAGCCCCCATTACTGAATGCCCGCCAGGCTGGGACTGCTCGCTTCCAGATTTCTTCCATGTGATAGAGAAATGAACGTCCATCCCGTTTTTTCAGAAGGAAGTTCTTGTGGGCTTCGGCTCTGTGGCAGTTCAGCGGGAGCCTCTCCTCGCCACACCCCCCGAAGCTCTGCAGTGGGCCCGCCTGTCGGCTCACACGCACTTCTCTAAACACACAGGTCACATGTGGGCCGCACATCAGCCCCCACATCCCCCACTGGGCGGTCGCCACCCCCCATGCCCGGAGGGGTGTGCAAACCTGCCAAAGACCCGGCTGCCCTGGACTCAGACACCAGGTCTCACTTTTGATGTGAAACCACCATCCATCTGACTTCGGGCTGAAAGTAAACATATTGCAAGAGTGTAAATAAAAACTCCTTCCAGTGTGGCAGCATTATTGGAAAAAAGTGCCTTTTAAAATAACAATAAACAGACGTTAAGTGGGTCCAGGGTTGGTGGGAGGAGGGCAGCCAAGCCCAGGGAAGAAGGAAGAGGCCCAAACACCCAATGGGGGCGGCTCTTCTCTCCCAGGGCCCTCGGGAGGCAGGAAAGCCTTCAGGGTGAGCCAGCTGAGGATCCGGAGCTCCTCGGAGCCACAGAAGGAGGGAGCTGTAGGGAGCCCGGGGCAGCCGATGCGCCACCCCCAAGCCCATGAGCGGACGGAGACCAGCCCCTCCTCACCGCAGGCTCTGAGGACACCAGGAGAGTCAGGGGGCCGCGGTGGAGCCTGATGACAGGACAGAGCACACTCACTGACGGGCTGTTCTGGGTGCCCTGCCAGCTAGGAGCGCCCAGTACAGGAGGCTCAGGTTGGAATGAAGGGCAAGTGCGCCCCACTGAAGAAGCCACCCCCACTGTCACTCCTGAGCACGGTCGCCCACTGGCTGCTTTACCAAGCTGGTGGCCGCAGCCTGCGGGAGGCCCAGAGTAGGGCTGGAAGGGTGTGTGAGCCCACCTTCCCCAACCTTTGGAGAGCACCCAGGCCTTTCCCTCTCCTTTGCATCTGTCTCAGGCAGCCCGGCAGCTCCGGGATCTGCAGAATCATGTCCTTCTCCAGCACCAGCTCCTGCCAGGGCTCCCTCCCCACCTGCCATCCTCCGCAGCAGCCCTGCAAAGCCATTGGCCAGTGGAAACCACTAGTTGGGGGAGGAGGAAAGAGGCCAAAGGTGAACCCCACTTACTTCTGCCTCTTCCTCTAGGCCCAGGGGTCTAGTCTCCAGCCTTCTCTACCCCAAAGAAGGGGGAAAGAAACCCCTCTCATCACTAGACATCCCTCTCTACTCAGCTTCCCATCAAACCCCAGGTCCCAGGCTCGGGCACTGGGCTGCTCCCGAGAGCTGAGCCAACCCTGTCTGCACACAGACGGGGTACCCACCAGGCTCAGGATCTGGGGGCCCTGTTAAGGAGCAGAGGGGTGGGCCACAGCAGGTGCCGGCTGAAATGCTTCTTGGTCCGTGGTCTTGGGAGGTGCTTGCAAAAGTCTGGAGTCTGGAAAGGAAAAGAACAGTTGCTAAGGTCAAGAACAGCAACTGGCCCTTGCAAAGGTCTGCAGCACTCAGCCATGAGCCACTCCACTCTGAGGGGTCTAATCTAAGCAGCACACCTGAGCTACGTGCAAGGACCTCTCGTGTACAAGGATGCACTGTGTGGCCCTCTATTCTGTGTGCGATGAACAGATGTGTCTCGGTCCCACGGAACAGGCTCCATGCTACTCGAATAAGCAGACAACCAGAAATACATCTGACTGAGTCAAGACAGTCTACAGCCCACCCTCAGACCCCCTGGCTTGTTCAATTTTACATTTTCTCCAGACCTCAGCCCAGACGTCACTCCGCAGCCACCATGCCTCAGTCTAGTGCCAGGTCCTGCCAGGGTGCCCTGAGCCCTTTGCAATAAACATGTTTATATGTGGCTTTGCTTTCCATCAATAGCACCCCCCACGCGGCCCGCCAGGTGCCATGCAGCTGACAGGCAGGGGTAGTCGTTGAATGAATCCACTATTAAGTAGTGACCAGCTATGGTTGACTGGTTGCTTAAGTAAATGGTTGAGTCACCTGGCCGAATATTCTTCAGTCATTTGAAAGAATTATAGAAAACCAGAACATGTGAGAAAATGCTCGGGAGGTCGTGCCAAGGGAAGGAAGCCCGCTGTGAAACTGTGTGCACCAGTGGATCCCAGAAGCTTTCAGAGGATGAAGAGGGAGAAGGTGCTGCCGAGCCAAAGTGAGAGCACAGAGAGTCAACAACCCCAGCAAAGCGAGAACTCTTTGCTGGGGGCAAGACCACAGTCCGTCAGGCCAGTGCTCGCGGGGGAGGGCAGCGTCCCATCCCACGTTCCCGGCTCGGCTTCTCACGGCCAGAAGCCCGTCTCCTCTGCCAGCTTCTCAACCAGACACGAGGCTCACACTCCCTGGCAGGTCACGCTCACTCCAGCCGGGCACCCTTCCCAGCCCCGTGTCAGTGCCAAGCTGCCCCGGCCGTCCCCTCCCTGTGTGGCTGGCAGGGCCACGTCTTCACTGGGGGTCATGCCCACCCTGCCTCTCCCGAGTTCCGATGGCCCCAGCACGTGTAAGGAGGATGACGGTGACCAACGTGCGTCGCAGCTGTGCTGTGTCATCATCCTCCGGACACCACGGGGCTGCGTCTGTCGGGCGTTCTGCTCGGAAACAGCAGCTCAGCAGCCCACCTCCAGCACACAGGCGGGCGGGCGTGGGTGCCGCAGGCAGCCAGTACACGTCCAACAACCAGTGCCACCTACATGGAAGCACAAACCCCACGGAGGGAGCCCCACAGCCTGGAGGAGAGGTGGGGGAGCGGGGGGGCCGTTGGCTTTTCAGTCACCCGGACAACGGTCTCATAACCAACCTGGAGCCCAGGGCTCCTGTGTCCAGGTTGCAGGCGCTCTCCCTCACACCGCTGCCTTCCCAGAGTGCGGTTGCTCAGCCCGAGAGGCAGGGCCAGACCCAGCAACCGGACTGCCTGGGCTCAAATTCAGCTCGGTGTGACCCCGGGGTGACACAGGCTCTCTGCCTCAGTGTCCCCATCTGCAAAACAGAAATAGTGACAGTGGCCACCTCACAGAGCTGTGCAAGGATCCCAGGGTCGGGGCTGTGAAGGTCAGAAAGTACCTGGATGCGGGTGTGTTGTCGCCGTAGACAAACCCCATGTGGGGAGGGGACGCACAGGACAAAGAGGGGCAGTGGCAGAAAGCTTAAGTCACCCAGGAAGGTTGAATAAGCAACGGGAGCCCACAGGCCCATCCCACGGCTCACCTGGGACCCACACGCCCTGTCAGCCTGTTCCCCCTCCACCTCCCTGCCCCACCCACCCAGAAGAGGGGCACGGATGGATGGATGGATGGATGGATGGATGGATGGATGGATGGATGGCCGCACTGTGCCCACCTGCACCAGTAGGCAGGCAGTAGGAAACACCCCGCAGAGCAGCAACTACCAACCCAGACCTCGAGGCTGTAGGCAGCAACTGGATAGCGAAAATGGGTTTCCTTCTGGCGGGCGAGGGCCACCACAGCCTGCGTGCCAACTCGCTGACCGCTGCCACCATCCATCCTCTGGGGCCTGAATGAGGGGCACTGAGGGCTGGTCTTCTGAACAGCCGATAGCACCCTGGATGACAAAAGTCCATCCATTTCAGAGGGACCAAGAGATTTCTCCAGCCCTCAAACACATCGAAACACAAGTCTATTTTTGTGTAAGTTACGGGGCTGTCTTCTCTCATTCGTTGATGGTGAACATCTCCCTACAAATAATATATCTATTTAGAGCAAAGTCACGTCTCATCCTGCGTGGAAGAGGGTCTCTAGCTGAAGCCCTAAACTGAGGCCTTGGGGTCTCCCCAGGATAAAGCCAGACAAGCGTGAAGTGGGCTTGGTCACTTCCCCGGGACAATACCCCATCTCAGCAGAGCCCCATCCTGTCACGGGGGGCACTGGGATGAGGACAGAGGCAGGCCTGCAGGCTCTCCACGCCCGGGTCTGGGGCCTGTGCCCGTGGCCAGCAGTGTGGGCCCCGGGGCTGGGGTCCAGAAGGGCCACCTGGCCCCGACTGGGGCTGCCAGGCCTGACAGTCTGTTTCAACATCTCCTTCTAATTACAGTGTCCAGAATGCCCACATGAGACTTCTGGATCAAGGCAAGACGTGGACATTGATACTTTCAAAGGCTTGATTCAGATTTCACCAGTCCGACGCACACGTGTGTGTGTGCACGACTCTGGTTCTGTGCAATTCCAGCTCACACGTAACTTCACGTGGCCACACTGTCCCATCACAGACCCCTCGTGTGCCCCTCTGCAGCCCCGGCACTCACTCCCTCTCCCGCTCCAGACTCCGGGTAGCTGCTGGCACTTCCTCCACCCTGCAATTTTCTCATTTTGCAAGTGCAGCAGGAGTGGAATCGGACGGGAGCGAGGTCGGCCTTACTCACTCAGCACAGCTCTCCGAAGGTCCATACAACCTGTTGCATTTGTCGTGGTTCATCCCTTTTCCTCGCTGAGTAGTGTTCCACGTGTGGTGCTGCCGTGCTGAGTTCAGCCATTTATCTGCTGAAAGGCGCTGGGCTGTTTTTGGTGTGTGGCAATTATGCCTACAGCTGCTGCAAACAATCACTACAGCTTTTGTGTGAACACTCGCCTTCATTCCCCTGGTGTAAGAGCAGGTGTTTAGTCTGGTAAGAAACGCCCGAACTCTATTCCAGCGTGGCTGCCCCATGCCTGTTCCCATGGGCTGTGAAGGAGAGAGAGAGACTCACCTCCACTCCGCCAGCACTCCGTGGAGGTCACGGTCATGAGCCAGCCCCTCTGTAGAGGTCTGCTTTACCTCGCTGTGGCCTTGGTTTGCCTGTCCCTGAGGCTAGGGATGCTGCCCACCTTCTCATGGGCTGGTTGGCCAGCTGTGTCTCGTCGGCGAAAGGTCTTTGGTTCTTTGCCCGTGTCCTAATTGAATCGTCTGGGTTTTTAGTGTGGAGTTTGAGAGTCCTTTGTCTAGTCTACGTACAGTCCTTCGTAGGGTGTGTGGTTTGCAAACATGCTCTCCCGATCGGTCCTCTCATCCTCCTCGAACGGTCTTTCTCAGAGCGCACGTGTTGAATGCCTATGAGTCTGGTTTACCAGTTTTTCTTTTTATGGATCACGTTTTGGTGTCAGGTCCAGGAACCCTTCATCCAGCCTCGGACCCTGAACATAAGTCTGTTCGCTCCTGAAAGGTTCATAGTTTCATGGTTTACGTTTGGCCTGTGATCCACTGGAGTGGATTGTTTTTATAAGCAGTGGGGTTCAGGTCGTTTCTTTTTTGCCCACAAGTATCCAGTTGCCCGGCACCATTTGTTGCAAGACCATCGTGCCTGCGTCACACGCCTCTGCAGCACCGTCAGTGATCAGAGGGCAGGTCTGTTGGTCCGTGTATTTGTCCCCCTGTGAACGCCAATCTGTCTTGATCGCTGTCATTTTACAGCAAGTCTTAATACTGCGCCGAGTGCCTTCTGGATGTTGAACCCTGTGAATACGTGACTCATTGAAATGTGAGGAAAGAAACATTTTTAATTAATAAAGTCCGGATGTGGTAAATCTCTTCTTAGAGCTTTGGCTTTTCCGTGAGCGGCTGCCAGCTAGGAGGGCAGTCCCAGGGAGAGCAGTATTTGAGGACGATCGGCGTGCGCTCGCAAATGGGCTCCTCGCATTTCCCTTTGGGAAGACAGATCGCAGCAGAAGGAAAGGGGGTGTTTTCCACAGGCCAGTGCACTGACCAGAGGGACGGCAGCCCAGGGCCCTGCAGCTGCCTCGGGACTTTGCCCCTTCTGAGCTGGACACATGTGGGGACAGGAGCAGCTCAAACCAATGTGTGGGCGACGCTGGCCCCTCCACATAGGTAGGTCGACTGTTCCAGCCACCGAGGGGCAGCACTGGGGCACCGAGGGCTGTGCTGGGGCTCATGGTCAACTGGCTGTCCAGTTGACAGCCTCAGCAGCAAGGTGGGCAAGCTCCCAGGTGAGCTGAGGTCTTGGGCTGACCACTCCACTGAAACCCAGAACAAAGGGCCGGCCGACTGCTGAGCAGTGGCTCCCCTCCTGGCTCCACTCAGCGTTTCCAGGGCCTCACCATTCCTCCTCACACAGGCACACGAATGAGAATCCTTGAGTGAGCGTGGTCCTTGCCCTTCTTTGGCGGTTTGGACCATTATTATGGTTCACCAGCCAGGCAGATGGGGGCCAGCCTTTGGCACCTCTGAGTTATCAAGGTGGCTCGCCTGCATTTCAGAAAGTCCAGAAAAATTAAAATGCAGGTGTTGGCCCTGCTGAAAGCTCCGCTCACCGCAGGGCGCTCGGTCACCCCTCGGAACGCTTGCTCTCTGCCGAGTTACAGACACTGCGCTAAACCAGCGCAGGCTGAGACGAGCCAGCTCCTCTGCTCCCAGCTGCAGGGCTGCCCCCCTGGGACACCCTGCACCCCCCAGAGTGGGCCCAGCCTCAGCTT